TGTTTGACCAAATTCCATGATTTTCTATAATCTTCTACATCTCCAATCATACCAGTCAATTTAAAGTTCTTAAATTTGTGATGCTTTTCTTTAATTTTGTCCTTTATACCCTTTGTAAGCCAACCTGGCTTTTACTTGCAGCCACCCTATTATTTTTATAAGGTTTACCTTGATTATTTAAAAATTTATTTTAAATCATTTTCTACATTTGATCAGTGTCTCCAAATAAGTCAGCTGCCCAATTCATAACAGGTAATTCTTGTAGCATCCCCTCAAAATTTGTTTTTATGAAATTTGTAACCAAAATATCATTATTCCTGACCACATGCAGCAGAACATCAAATCTAATAGAGCAGTGATCACTTGCACCCGGATGTTCCCCAATTTCAACCTTCTCAACAATTTCTATATTAGAAGTTAACAATATATCTAAAATAGCATTGTTTCTAGTAGGTTCCTTGACCAATTGGTGTAGAAAACCATTTTAAACAGTTTCCAAAAACTTTTCTACCTCATGCAAGGTTTTAAACTGTAAGGAAAATATTAAAGGCTTCCTTCTCCATTTTCTCAGATCTTTTTTTTTCCATTGTGTGTGTGTTTATGACATAAGTGCAACACACTGATGTGTGAACATGAGCAACCCATATAAAAGCATACAACAAACAAAAATACAGATTGAAGTGGATAAAATGTTTCATTTTATCTTGTTTTATCTCATGTTCTTACCTTACATAGATGACCACACCTACTGACCACATGTCCAATGACCTGTTGTAACCTTTGTTCCTAACCACCTCAGGAGCTGAAAGTCACATATAATTTAAGTCAATTTATACTACATGGTTCATTTGCATTTTCAAATCTATTTTCTATCTATCATCCATCCCTCCAACTTTTTAATAAATGCTACAATATCTAAATTCATACTGACAATTATCCTGTCTAATCTGCTAAAAAAAAAACAATACGATAGATTTACTATACCAAATTATTAATAAAATGTCTCAAGAGTAAAACCAAGCTGTAACTTTTAAGCCATATGTGTTACCTTTGAACAAAATAATTTAGAGTTATCCACTGACCTAGGTAAGCTGGAGTCCCAACTAAGGATTTTCGGAATGACTTTTCACCAATGATACGAGCAAATCCAAAATCACAAAGTTTGACCTGAAACAGAGAAAAGTAAATATGTGAGATAACCAACATACATTTTCATGCAAGTATACTCTAACTAATCAAATATAAAAAATAATCTAAACAGATTTATGTACAATATTTCTTATGCAAATAAACACAAGCCTTCTCGATACAATACCTGCAAAAGTTCATTAGTATTTTTTTCAGTATCAAAACTTGTTAGAGTGGTTGACTTGTAGATGTCACATAAAGATAAAAAAAGTACTATGTTTGTATCATCGAACTGTAAAAGTACAAGTTATTTTAGACTATATCAAGGTTATTAGTACTTTACAAGATCAATGTTCTAGGTCTTTTGATGCCTTTGTAACTATTTACTCTATTGTGAAGGATGGAAGATGGTGTCAAACTTAGACCATACATTTTGATCAACTCTCCACCACATGTGGATATCAGTTTCCAAGGCCACATTTAAACAGATCATAGACATAAAAGTCTACTGGGGTGAGACTGGACAGTTATATGATCAAATGGGATTGCTGGGATTTCATCTTTCTTATGAAAACAGTCATTTAATTTGAGGTATGGCTAAAAGTTTGTGAATTTTTGACTTTTTCAGCGTCATGTCAATAACGTTTTGGGTTGAAAGGTTCTCTTTCATAGCTACAACTCTCACTTTTGTATGAAGATTTTACCCAGAATTAGGTTCTGGTGTAGTTTCAGGGCCTGTTGCTGTCCTAAATGCTCTGCTATGTAAGTTTTTCAACTGTAAAGAAAATATCAAAGGCTTCCTTCTTTGAAATAGAGTCCTTTAACAATCTGAATGTATGAATATTTCTTTTTGGAGTATCTAAATATATTCCTCTGACCATAAGACAACCTATGGTGACACTAAAATGTCAATTAGTCAGGAATTTTTCATAAACTAAATATATAGCAGCACAGCTTCCAACTAGTGTGACAAGCCAATTCATTAGCAAATACAAATAATGTATAATTAACACACAGTAAAAACCTGAAATGTCTGTAGTCTTGTTGTGGTGCTCCATGTAATACTTATAACAGCTTCAAAATTATGCATCATGTACCATGATATTTGTATTTCAAAAATACACATGAATTAACTGTTTATTTTACATTTCCAAAACAAAAGAAAGAACCAAGACTCTGTAATGTTTCATCACACAACACTGGTCTCGTTAGTGTCAAACTAAAGATACTACACTTAAACTTATCTGCACATGCATCATTTACTACACATTTCACAAGGTTTTTAGTAACTTACATTTAAAATTTAATTAAACTATAGTTTTTTAAGTTATATCAATTACTGTGGTATAAATTCGTAGCTAATAATTCATATTTTAATAGTATACAAGTTTTTAAGTTCTTAATTTTATAAGGCTATATTAAAAAAAAATACTCAATTTCTCTAGGCATCCCCTCTTCACTAATTTATTTGCCACCCCTCCAGTAAGTATGAAACTTAACATAAATTACTCACTACAAAATCGTCATCACTCAGACAAAACATAACTTTTATAGCTTTCAATTTTGTTTGGTCACAGAGCCATTAAATGGAAAATCAGATTTCTCTTGCCACAACCACCTGTGACATCCTCTCTTTCAGGATTTGTTAATAGTTCTGTCTTATGTTTAATTCTATATTATTTATAACCAACAGAAAGACAAGGTTTTCATCTATCAAATGACATATTATATTACATTGTTTTCTGAACAGAAAATTGTCTATTTCTCTTTTAGAACAAGCTTTATTCCCACAGAAAACATATTGAGGCTAGCTTGGATGAATTTGTAACAGCTTTTGCCACATAATTAGAAAGCCACAAAAATTGTGATTGTTATGGGACATTCTCTGTTTTTTGCACGTTATTATTCTATGTTCTTTAGTGCATTATTTAATTAAATAAAAATTATTTAGTGCACTACTACCATTAGTATAAAAAAGTAGGGTTAAGCACCATTGACAGTTGAGAGCAAAAACAAAAGGTCCAGATAAGTACTTTATTTCTTGTTTTTTATGTGTATTCTTTATTTATTATTATAAAAGGAACTAAAATGTAAAACAGGAATTTCTTTTGGTCAGTTAAAGTTAGATTAGGTAAAATAACTAATAATAATATAATAAAAATGTTTCACGAGCATGAAACATGGTAATGTAATTTGATAACATAAGATGAGCTCCATGTTTCCCAAGTGATTTACAACTTATAATGGCACGAATAATACTTAGACACAGTTCAAAGGGCAATAAAACAATAAAATTTAAGTATAAGTAGATGTATACTGTTACAAGTTTAAGGATACTTAGGAAAACGAATGTAGTTTCATGTTACAATTTGAAGAAATTCTAGAAATAAAAAAGGGTAATTTAGATTTATTTAGATTTTTTTTTGGTAGTCACAAGGTTGGTCAATTTGACCAACCTTGTCTAGAGTTAGGGTAGAGAAAAATAACAGATAAAATATAAAGTTTTACTGAAAAAACGTTTGAAATATATTTAGGAGGTTTTAAGGGTTACACAAATTAAATGTGAGATTTTTGAGATGAAGAAGAGTATTTTTAATCTCAAAAAAAAACAAAAAAAAACTTGATGTATTCTTAGACAAATATTTTTTCTATTTTACTAAAAATAACTTCACTAAGAAACCTGATTTTTTTATGTGCAAAACTTGTAATGTTTACTGAAATCTGCCATAGGTTGTGAAGATATACCTATTATATTAAAAGTTAGTAGTATCAGAACTATAATGTCTTTAAACGAGTACAAAGTGGTCACGCAGTCAGCCAATTCAACCGAGCCTGTGTTGAGTGTGCCAAAGAGCACTAAGTCGCTCTTGTTGGAAATGTAATGCATTTATAAAACACTGGCACGTATTATCCATGTCAATACTCAATGTTCCTAAAAATGTTTGAAAGCTTCAAAGTAAACAGAAAAATCTCACCTGTGGAAAGTCCGAATCTGAAGACAACAAAACATTTTCTGGCTTCAGATCACAGTGAACAATGTTCTTAGAATGTAAGTGTTTCAGAGCGGTCAGAATCTGAGTGTGAAATAAAATACAGGTCATGAAACCATAATTAAGAGTGAAACTATTTTACTCTTTGTCCATCTTTCTTTTTTTTTTGTAATAATTAAAGAAATTCTGCAACTTTCAAATTGTTAAGGAAAATTATTTCATACACTATTAGTTTTCATACAAAACTTACTTGATAAATCAAAAACTTTGTTATACGTTCAGACAACCTTCTGTATTCACTGGACAGGATCATTTCTAACATGTCACCCTTCAGCTTTTCCATCACAACAAATATCTAGTAAGATGAAGAAAAAATCGGCAACATTCTATAAACCTTTATCCAAACACAGACAGGTAGGTTTATGTTCTAAAAAAAAAGTAAACAACCTTCACTTATTAATGATAAGACAAATATGCTAGCATGAAATCATCATAAAATGAAGCAAGGACTGTGGCCATCAACGCTTGGTTAAAGGAATAGCTTAAAACAAATGAAAGAGGTTCAAAATAACAAAAGTGCAACACCAAATGAAAATGTGTGAAAAATAAAACATGGCTCTCTAATTTAACTGTGTGCTCTTATTTATTTCAATAAAACATGGTACTAAGCAAGTTTCTATCAGTATTTTAATAATTACAAGTTTTACAAGTAATTTTCTATCAAGTTTTTTTTCCCCTATATCACTTTTAACAATTGTTGACACTAGAACAGACAATAATACCTCCTTTACTATGATTAACTTGTATATCTTTTTTACACTTAACAGTCTTTTGTAAACAATTATTTCATTGTCTACCCTGTAACACAGTCATGAAAATTATTAGAATACTTTCTCAAGTTGCTGACAAACAATTTTATTCTATACAATAATTTCATATGACATTATACAAGCCTAAGATATTACTCCTTATAATACTATATTTATATTAACTTTATTATTTTTATATAAATACTTTACTTACAGACAGTAATTTCCCAATAAATGAAATAATTGATACTTGAAGGTAGTCTTATAAAAATTAACATTTTTTCTCACACTGAAAATGTACTTCCAATAGGCTCTTACCTCACTCACACAAAGCTATCTAAGCATTGCTAAAAAATTTTGTGATCAGCACACCAGTCTATATACCCTTTTAATTTTGCATCATTTCTGAACATGTACATATGTGACTACTCTCCACCAATAGTATTGCATCACCTATACTGGTGCAGCTAGCTCCCTCTGTTATTCCCACTCAATCTGCTCTTTTGAAAAATGGCAGGCTCCAAAAGAAGAACACTGGCAGTGGGGAGGAATGGTGAGAAGTGTATGAGAGGAAGTAAGTCCTTATCAGAAATACACTTTCAGTGGAAGAAAAATGTTAAATTCTGATATGATCTTACCTTTTCCACACACAAAGCTAGAATCCCATATTGCAAAGGTGGTGGGGGCCAATGTAGGCACACAACATAGAAACCAAGTGAAAACCAACTGCCCAGAATAAATGGGTGTACTCTTGTGGGGTACTGCACTACATGTGGAACAGGTATGATCTTTGCCCTAGAAGTAGGAAATTAATCCGATACAGGTGTAAAAAATGCATGTGCACAAGTGTAATATGTTCTGAGAGGTACAACCCACAGTAAAATATAAACAGAATTAGCTATGTACATTCACAACTTCAACCAGACAGATGAGGTTCAATAACTCGTCCTTGGTATTAGGAGGTTGAGGGTAAAAAAAAAATATTGTAACATAATGTAATATATATTCATCAACCCCAACCATAAGTAAACAGTGTATCATATATCAAGCAACCAGAATTAAGAAGACAAAGTTGTTTTGGGGCAAAACTGGACAAATTCCCAAAATAGCAATAGGAGTAAGAAGTACAACAAACTGAACCCAGCATTCCTGGGTCGTTGTGTAAGAACGAGACAATATCTGTAGCTAGTATTATGAGCAGAAATCATAAATCACTCAACTGTAAATGCAGGGAAGAGACATCCTTCACCGGAATTATGATGACATGGAACATTCACTCAACCATAAGAACAGTGTACGTTCGCCCTGTAGCCAGCATTTCGAGGCAGATGAAGTCCTCCAAACTCAACTGTTAGAGTAGGAAAAGAACCACCTGCAAACGGAATTTACAAGAAGAGGAGACTCTACTGCACACAACCGTAGGAACAGGGTGGTGTCATCCCAAACACGGTATTACGAGAAGGATCCCGCATAGGCTGCACCTGCTTCAACCTATTTTTTATGTTTCTTTCGATAACTGTTCACCTGGGAAAAAGCATCTAGGCGAAATAGAAGGAGGGAAAGCAGCTTTACCCTCTTCTGAATGAGTGGATAATCATGAGTATATATGGTAAAGTAAATTTCTAAACTCAGTCAGGAGGAAGCCTACATGCTCCACTAACCCAGTATCTGGGCACTCTTAAGTGATAAGGACTCCCGTGCTCCACTAGAAGAAAAAAAAAGGGGTGGGGAATCCAGAGGATCCTTACACCAGAAAGAGTGCAATGGGTGTCCTCAATTCCCTATTTTGAAAAGCAGACTGGCCCCAATTTATTCAGTCAAAGGGTTGGCAGGG